CGCATGTTTCTACACAGAAGAATAAAACATGCGGTCAGAAGTGAGCACAGTACACAAAAGTTTTATTGAGACTCCTTATACCAGAAGTAGAGATATATAGTTTTATCGCCCAGTGTTACTGTATCAATGTGATTTGCCCACAAGAGGCCGCACAATCCATACAGCGTTGTTGGAATACCTAGAGATAAACAACTACTTCGAAACGACCACAGGCACCTACCAAGATTGATTAGCTTGAGAAAGAAATAAAAATGGTTTTCAAAGCTGAGATCTTCAACCGGGCGCATGGTACAATGGTACTTCACAAACGGGATGCATGTGGTTCGAAGGATGTGATAATTTTTGCCATCTACTGCAAAATTAAAATGGGACTGCCATTTCTGATCATCGGTAATCTGGCGTCTTTTGACGTAAAAAGCAGTCCAGGGAGGATATTTCCTCTGACGCAAATAGGCGGAAATAACAGCAGAAGCCCTTGGTAGTTTGTTACGCTTCTGTTTCGAAAAAGTTTTAAAAATGTTCGCAATGACCATTGCAGCTCGGCAGGCAACTCGAAGTTTGAGCAAATGCGCAAGCTAAAATAGTGATAAGGAGAAATATGCCAGTGCGATGGAATGAAAATCCATGATGAACTACTTTTGGCTTGTGTAAGTAACAATAGCAATGAATGGGGAGCAGGAGGCCGAATATAAAATAAGGTCTAGAATTCTAAAGCAGCAGTGTGGTGAATCCTAGGGTCGGATAGGGCGAAATCTTACTACACAAACAGTGTTTAGTATATCTTCTGGTCACAAAGTAAACACAAAACTGAGGGTCATCATACAGAAATTCCAAAGTCGGGGATTAAAATTTATCAGAGACGCAAAAGTACACGATGATTTAGTAAGTTACGTGACTTGTCAGGATGTTCCGCAAAACGAGTGCGGTTCCACAAGGCAGGCTGAGAGAAACTCAGTTAAATAGCAGAGTGATTAGAAGTTCGATGAATCTTCATTAATTAATAAAGTAAGGCGCAAAAATAGCTTAAGAAACGACTAAAATAAAAGCGAACTCTAACCGAGTAATGGCGCCAAGCCAAATGTGGAATGTGAAGTAAGAGGCTAAGTGTAGTGGTTGGTTCAAAGTTCCACCAATCGAAGTTTCAGTCACTTTCCATGATTTCTCAAAGGGATCAGAACGTAGGAGGAAAACTTGTAATTCCTAGGCTCCCCAATTCTAGTCTGCACCTTTAGACTGCCACTGAGAAAATCACTTATATGAGATAATTTCTATGCGTTTGAACTTTAAACTAATACACCAAG